AGATAGAAGATGATCTGCTTTAGTTCATTTTCACAGAAAAGCGTAATGCCTCACAGAAAAGCAAACTTAGGGCGTCGTACTCGTAGCGCAATCTGTTGGACATAAAAGCCTTAACCTAGATTATATATTTTAATTTATATGAATGTTTAACGGAATAATATACAGCCTATGTCCACCCTGAGGTTCCATTCTAAATATTGGTGAAAGAATTTTTGAAATTGGATGAGTAGTTTCGGAGATTATCTGCTGCAAACAAACTTACATACATACTTACAAACATTACTTTTTTATAATATTAGTATAGATAATTTAATTGACAACGGAAACTCACCTAAGAGCTAATTCATTCGGTTCGGCATTAATATCTCCGTCGTCTTGCTTTTCTTCTTCGTCCTCCTCCTCTTCTTCGTCACTATAGTCAAAATCTAACAATTTCTGTAAAATAAAATAATTAATTTAATAATTTGTCACAGAATGGCAGTTTTTTTTCTTCTAATTATAAACATTAGTATATAATACACTTCCATTTATAATTATAAGGACATCACCATTTTTTGTTTCCTCTAATTACAAATAAAATGCATTTAAGCAAAGTAACATTTCACTTTTATGTCACAATATTTATAGAGTTTGCAGCAGAACATAAAAAATAACTATGTTGCAAACTCTATAAATATTATGATATTAATTTTAAAAATGTTGTAGAATCTTCACATTCTGTTCATTTAAATGCATTTTAAATGTAATTAGAGATGACACAAAAATGGTGATGCACAATCAATAACTAGTAATATGAAGCAAAGTTAAGTTATTTTTAATTAATTAATTTCAAATCTTACAGCCATAACTACTGGCAAATAAAAGTCTCTACTCAAATTCTTTTCAATAAAATAAACAGTAACATAAAATTATCAGTTATAATTACAGAAACATTTATTAATTTATACATGACATAAAAACATCAAAAATCAAGCGTTTCATGTATATGTGTACTCGAATCCATGAGCAAAAGATTTTCAATAATAATTTACCTCGGTTGATGCATATATTATACAATTACTAGAACTTTCGAGGGGTCAGAACCATTTCGCTTCAACAATTCTAACATCATGTTATCAAAGCAAAGTTTTGCAAGATTAAACCTTGAGCCGAGATGCACTTAAATTCAGTCTATTCTGTCATCATTCCCCGTTACAAAATTCTTTTTACTTATAACAAGTTTTTCCTTGGAATACATTATTACATAATAATATAAAAGTTATCTATTGACAGTACTTAAGATATTAAATTTGCCTTGTTTTTCAGAAAACTGAATCTTTATAAACTGTCGAAAAAAATTTGGAATCAGAATACACAAGCACAAAACACTCAATACAGTAGAACCTCGAAAACTCGTCCCTCGATAACTTAGCACTCCGGATAACTGGTCCACACCTTGGCAGGGCGAAAAAATCCTTAGTTAATTAATTTTCATTATAGACAGCTTTATAAAAGTATAAAAGCTCTCATAAAGTATTTTTCTGAGGTCTGTCTTATCAGGTAAATTACTGTACACAGTGTATTCATTAATTTTCATTTTCATGTAGTNTACCAACATGTGGTGATCATCCTAAACTGTGGTTGATTGGGCCATCAAAAGTTTGTGGGAGGAAGTCATAGTACTGTTGCACTGTTCATATATAGAACTCAATGCTCTTGTACAAGATGAAATAATCACAATAATTTGTTAAAAGTTAGAGAAAATATCAATAGGAAGAGTTCCCTTCTCAAAGATTGGCCACATGTCATAGGAAAGTGACAACAGTGTACCTGGTGCATCCTAGTTGACAGATGGGATGAGGGTGCTTCTGAGGATTAAAATTCCTGCATCTAGTTGAGTTGATCTCAAACTATAACTCCTTTCTCATGATCTCCTAGAAAGGAATGATCTTCTGATTCTATAGTGGTAATGATTTGTTGTAACTATATATATTGTGTATATTGCAAAATATTATATATATAAACTAATATTAGCTATACTAGGTATGAGTAATTTAAACCTATGGTTTTTCTAGAATGTAATTATCACCACTGTCAGCAGATAATGAGTCAATTTACTATACAAGTATTCAGAAAATCTTAACATTGTTTTGTTATACAAAATAGTGATTAGAAAGGACAATATTCGATAAATCAAATGAAAACTCTGACATGTATATTTATTTTATTGTAAAATAATACATTATTAACAGATGTAAATAGCATAATTATTTATAAAACTACTTTAAGTTAGAAACAAATTTTGTAACACTAATCATAATTTATATATATTGAGATGTTTGTAATATTTAATATAAATTCAATCTTTTAACTAATCATTTTTTAAACAAAACTTCATATATTTTTATTGATCCAGAAAGTGCTTGTAGAAAAACTGGGAACAAATATACCATTTTTTCGAATTTTGTAAATTTAAAAATAGCAATTATAGTTCTACCATTAGAAGTCAGTTCTTTTCTTTAATTTGTATTTTAATATTTTTTATCCTGAGGCAGACCTTTAAACAGGGTCAAAAACATTTGTTTTGATTAAACTAGTGCTGGAAAAGTGTGTAAGGTGTAGTGTGAGTGCTTTCATTAATCCACTCAACAGATAGCTATGCTACATTTTTCTCAAATTCATTTTTATCCATCTTAGAATGTATAGCAAAAAATTCATGAAAAGATAAAAATCTAAAGGCAAATGTATTATTAAACTGCAGACAGTACTATTTATATATAATATAAAATTCCAAGAATTCCTATAACCTAATTTGTCTTTGACAGAAGTTATGTATAAAGATACTACTCTTTAGAATGATCTGACTTTTCAATTTTGATACCTACATATCAAAAGTTCTATCCTTATAACAGGAATGGGTAAGAATTTCAGAATTTTCAATGGAAATATCCCTAATCTAACAACAAATCCAAACCTAAAATCCAGTGAAGAAAAATCATTTATTTAAGAACAAAAATTTTCACCTTTTACAAAGGCCATCTTCAGGTTCTACTGATAGAACAGTTGTTTTGAAGTATATTTTATTCCAACTTTTTGTTATTTATAAGCATTTAACCTTTTTGTATATGTTGTTTTCTTTTGTAATCGTTTTTATGTTATAATTTATTACTGCATTCCTGTGCATGCAATGTTTGTACACAATGAATGTTATTTAAATTCTGTTTCTAATTTGCATTCTACCAGTACTATTCTACCAGTACTACTGAACCTGAGGATGGCCTTTATAAAGGTTGAAAATGTCTGTTCTTTAATAAATGTTTTTATTCTTCTCCGAGGATTTTAGGTTTGGAAGTGTTGTCATATTACATACATCCAATTCAGAGGTTAGGGTTTCTACATTAATATGTCTGCACTGGACAAACTCTACAGGAAAGCTGTTGTTCGTTTAAGACACATCAATTCCAAATTGGATTTTCTGCTTTATTGCCATTCCCTGGGTATATTTCCAGCATCTATTATGAAAATTATACTACCATTTAAATGCTCATTGTTGCTACCTACCATCAAAAAGTATACATCTTTGTAAATCAATTCATTTAGGAAAGAGATGGAAATATTCAATCATTAAGGAAATCATTGCGTTGGAACATTGCTTGTTTGAAATTGACCCAGCATAATATCACAATTATATATAAATGCAAACTGAAAAAGTGGCATTATGCTTTAAAAGATCTAATCAGTTACAAATAGTAAAGATACAACAATTCAAAGATCTTTAATTTTTTTCTGAGAATTTGATTAATATCTTCTCTTCTGTTACTTTGATTAGAAAGAGAAAACAGAATCTAAGACTAATCATATCTTGTGTGGATTTCACACAATTTTTTAAAATTTTAAAAATAATACTTTTTGTAATTAATAACTGTAGAAGATATAATAGTGCAAAATAAATCAAAACTTTATTAAAAGTAGTTATTTAATCAATTCCAGTGAAAGCATAATGTAACAACTAAAATATTTTAAAAAATTAACAGTTGTTTCTTATACAAGTTTAATGCACCAATTCAAATGGTCGTTCTGGTATTTTATGTATCAAACTTTTTTATTTCTTTTATCTTTATTTTTTGGTTTCTATTAATACACTAAAATTTATTTTTATTTCAGGGTAAACATGGTCACTCAAAGCTTTAAGCTCTTCCCACACTATTTTTGTTATGTTTCTGAATATCATATTGTTCTTAAACAAGTTCAGTACAAAATTAACCACAAGGATTAAGTCTTTCATTGTGTATTAAGCTTACATAGGAATACTTATGAGAGACTGAGATAAGCTGCTGGAACTGCATTTTTGCTATTATCATTGCAGATCAACTCTGGAAAGTTGGCAAGGAAATCAATGCCATTTACCATTCCTTGAATTTGGTAGGAATGAAAGTGAATGCAATTACATATTCCAATGTACAATTATCTATTTCATCAGTTTCACATTGTAATGAGCTTCCTATCCCACAACCATTAAAAGGTATGTAGAGATTAAAAGAAGAAGTTCAGTCAGGTAGTAAGTGTAACAAGGAAAAGAGATGGACTTCAAACGGCACATTTTGCAGTAAGTCACATTTTCCAAATTAACAAGAACTAGATGATTTCATAAGAGACTTATGTCTAACAACAAGCAACTTGTTGAGAATTCAGTATTAATAGAAAAATTTGAAAGAATAAGTGCCATATGACAGTGAAACTTCATTACTTACACTATTTATATTTTGATTTTTCAGAGAAAATTTGGGTGCAGTGAGTGAAGAACACAATAAAATGTTTAAAATGAGAAAAAAAGGAATTTATGATGGCAGATTACATCTAGAATCTGGTGTGCCATGATAATAGGATAATAGTGTTCATAAGAAGCAAAGGCAATCCAAAGTTAATTTTTAGGACATATTTTACTTGTTTTAAGGCATTGATCCAATCAATGCTAGACAAATACTTTATTTATGATTTTTACTCTCTTATAATCCCTGTATTTCCTGTTATTTTGCTTAATGCTTTGCAATATAAGTTATGCATTACACAAGTGCATAGATTTTGTAGTAGTGTAAATTGTGGATAAAAAATTTATGCTATACAAAAATATGACAGTTTTTTTATATCCTTGCATCAAAATTGATAAAGAAACATTAAAATAAATCAGATAAACAAACTTTTCAAAATTTTGTTACCTAGTGAAGTTTTAAGATCATTCAATAACAACTGTATTGATTATATAATTCATTTTTATTTATTGTCATTCCTTATAATTCTACCTTGATAACATAATAGAAATAACATATGTGATACATATGAAATAAAATCAGAAAATATTTTTATTCAATGAACTTAAATTTACTGTATCTATTAAACATTACTATGTTGTTAACTTTTATTATGATGTAAAATTCAGTAGAAATAAATCCACAATCTTACAAAAGTATTATTATACTTATGTTCAACACACATTAGACTTATGCTTTATTTTAGTGGATTATAAAAACAAAATATGCAGTTAGCAAATATAAAGTAAAAATATTCTCAGAATAATTATATTGATCTGTTTAAAAAGAGACCAGCATAGTAAATTATAATCAAAATAAATTTCAGAATTTTAGTGTGATTTACAACAAAAAGAAAATATTTTGGTTTATTAGTATTTCCATATGAATTTTATAATTTATATATTAGGTACACTGAACTGTTAATAAGTTTTACATTGAGATGCAAATTTCCCTTTCTTAGAAACATTTCATTGAGGAGGTGGATATTTACTAACCAATTTAAAAATTATGATTAACTAAACCGCTGATTCATCACTTACATACTTATGTAAATTTTC